GTTATACGCTCTATTAATGGATTATAAGGTGTAATGGTAACTAATTTTTATCAATCAAAAAATATGGATCACATAAACACATAAAGAGCTAATCTAAGCAAGACATGAATGTTTAATGAAGATGCAAGTGATGGAGAAGAACATAATGCTATGAAAAACTCTGATTAGTCTCCATTTAGCTCAATTTAGCTCCCATCCCGTATATTTTATATAGTTTTTATTGTCGGTACTACATAATCTTGATTAGCTCTATAACTATCAATATTCTTAGATGTGGAGGTTTCGTGTTGTGATGGGTTTGATTACTTTCTTAGAAAATAAGGTGGTAGGAATAAGGTTTTGGAGTTGTTCGTGCTATTTATATGGATATTTTGGTTTGGAGAGTGAATAAAGGTTTTTTTACCAAGTTTTGATAAACTTGGGTAGCTTGGGTACTTTATGAATGACTTGGGTACGAAAGTGGGAATGATATGGGATATTCAAGATGAAAACATAAAGAAAATACAATAAAATAAAAGATACAATCTCGCATTAAGAATGGGAACCCCACCAAGCTATTAATATTGATTTTGTCATTAAATGTTACTATAGAGATGAAAGGTTTTACCAAATTAACTAATAATTATTCAAATTTAAACTCTTAACATATAAATAATTATTATGAAATGTACGAATTCAAAAAAATGCTTAAAAGATAAAGAGTTGGTTGATCACATGAATGCATACATGGAAATTTTATTAAAAAAAGACTCAGAATTAAGAGGGGTACATATTTCGTAGTCATTTGTATGATTAAGCATCAATGATATTCTCTCAAATCACTCGAATGACCAAACAAATTATTATAATGATGATATGTTAAGCTGAGATGGCAATGTCTTGACACTAAAATTAAGCCGGCATGAAACTTAACAAATTATCACTCTTGCAACATATATAATATCTAATAATTACACATGAAAATTCATAAAATAGGAAATAGAAAAATGACTTGATAATTTATTTAAATAAGTGTTATAATCCTTCATCAATTTTTTATGGATCCTACATCAACATTGAGGTGAGGTATTCTTGTTGGAAAAGAAACATAGTGTGCAATATGAATATATTTCAATGAAGATAGGATGACAAAGTACAAGTAACTAGTTATCAACTCATCTTTAATTAGATTGGTCTTCTAATTTCTAAAGTAGGCACAAGATTTATAAGTTATGATAACTTCAATATTAAAATCAGATGAAAAATTATTTAAATGGCAAGCATTTGATCGAAATTTTCTTAAAATTTTAAACTTTATATCCACTTACAACCCCTTCAGACTTAGAGATCTATATCTCAAATCTAATTTTATTCAATATGTAATTATATTCATTATGAGAAATTTTACGTTTAACTACTTTAACATATTTAATTTTTTTTAGATAAATTATATTCTACAATATTGATATTGGCTAGACCTATCTCTTGAAATTGTAAATGTTGAATTGAAATATACATGAGTTAGAAGTTTTTATAAGATCCATAAACTTGTCAAAAAACCATACATAATTTAAAAAGATATTTAATGTGTTATTTGAGAAATCATATTGTTAACTTAAAAAGAACAAGATGCATATTCTATGTCTATGAATATTTGCACAACAAATATCCCAACAAGTTTTTTTATGTTTTTGTTAACATCTCAACTTAATCATTATTTTGTGAGTAAATTAGAGGATAACTTGTTTTTTATCCAACAATAACTATAAGGTTTTCAAAAAATAAAATAAAAACATGAAATCCATGTTATAAAAATAGTGGAAAGAAAATCATATGATCTAATAATTTTTTAAGGAAAAATTACTTAATGTGTAATGCCTTATTTTTATTAATTGAGTCAAGAAAATGCATCATTAAAAAATTTTTGTTAATCATCGTATACAATAAAATAACATATTCATAGATATTGAAGAAGTGTTGAAATAACTTATATGTACAAGTCTTCCAAGTTATACAAGGAATAGAAAGCACTATATATTGGCTAAGTCTTTTTTAGGTGGTATTATCTTGCATATCGTAAAGCACTTAAAATTCTTCCAACATCTCCTTTTAAAAAACACTAATACAATTTGTCCTTAAGAAAATAAAATGTTTTTTAATATCCAAAAATGCTTAGTAGGGCACTAATAATATCATTCATAAATCAATGGATCACCTAGAGAAGAGTTAGAGATGGATAAACATCTCTCTATAATACTACAAATCAATGTTAAGAAAATGATTATTTAAACAAGGCTTCTCATTGTCATTAAAAGGTGTATAAAAAATAGGAAAAATCATGAAATCATCTCTAAGTTTAGCATTATTAAGAATTTGAATTTCTAAAAATGTAATCGTAAATACGGCTTTAACTAATGGATTTGTAGCATCTTTTTTCATATTAGCCTTATAATTTACAAAAAAATTAATAGCCTTATAGAAATTTAACATATTTGCATTCCATTGTTTTAGTTTTCTTTAAGAGTTAATAAATTTTAGGGCATGATGATCATTGCTAAATGTGAACACCATAAGGACATTAATGCCTTAAGGATTGTGCAATAAAATAGAACTTCCTACCAGATATTGAATGCTTTTATTTTACATCATTTAACTTCTTACTAACAAAAATTATATGATATTTTTTTACTTAGGACACCAATAATTCATATACTATCAATTTTATTAGATCATGGTATGCATAAGCTTTTCTTAATTATAATAAGTGTATTTTGAATATTTTAGTTTTTTTATATCAATGAGTTTTATAAATTTTAAATAATAGTAATTTTGGACAAAAGTAAAACAGTGATTAATAAATTGATAGATTTGGATGGTGGGTGATTTTATTTAAAATGTACTTGAAATTATTCTCTTAAGAACTCAATAGAATAATTTGATTTGTAGATCAAAGTAATGACTTAATATTAGGGATAATACAAATTATAACTTTATATATTATTAAAATTATTTTATATCAACTTTTTTTAAAATTTAAAAAAAAATGCTTATTGGTAAGTTGTGATAATTTCAAATTTGTATCGCACTCTCTTAATTTTATAAAAAATTATAATTTAATGCATATTTTTATTCTATCAATAAACTTTCTTAGTGAAGTATTTTTATGTTAATAAGTTTTCATGATGCTTCAAACATAACATGAAAATGATCAAAATGATCTAATAAAATGTAATTATTTTATTAAGGAATAAATGTATATTATTTATCTTTTATTTATTTCACATAGTATTTTGTGGGAACTTGTTAACTTATTTGTATCTCTAAATTTAATATTTCAAATATTTGAATGTTATTAATATAATTAAAAACATATGTGTGTGTGTATATATATATATATATATATAGATGTTGGCGGTGGCTAGGTTTTGCTCTGGCATCTATGGCGATTTCGGCTTCCTCCTTCACTGGTGAGATATTTCCTTCGCACTTTTTGGTTTCTTTTTGTTTGTGTTTGTTGGCTCGTTTTTTCCCGTTTTTTTTTTTGTTTTTTTTTTAGGTTGGGGGGGGGGGGTGGTTCGGCCACTCCTTCCACAAAAATTTTCCTGCAAAGTTTTCATGATACACTTACTATCGGAGGGGATTATACTTTCATTAAGAAATTGGTGAAAAAAACGTAAAACTTGCGCTCTATGTGACGAAGGATGAAACTTCTATATAAGCCTCTTCTTGTCGTTTAGCTCTAGTTGGGAAACTTACATATGGTATACCTAAAGTTGAGCTGATAAGGAGAGAATTTGAAATGCTAAAATTAAAAGGTTGGTGGAAGGTTGACATTATAGGTGGTAGACATATTTTTATTCAATTAGTCAATGATGAGGACTACACTCGTCTACTTGCAAAAATGTTTATCTGGGTTGAAAATAGTTTGATGAAATTCCAGAAATGGACTTTTCACTTTGATGCTAAATCTGAGTTGCCTATTATACTGGTTTGGATATGTTACACTTCAACTTTTTAGCCACGAGATTCTTTTCTCTCTTGCTACAACTTACGGTAAGTTTCATCCTTCGCACCTTTTGGTTTCTCTTCTTGCTCTTCGTTGTGCCTCTGATACCTCGTTCATTTTTTTATGCTGTATTAGATGGGGGGGGGGGGGGGGAGGCTCGGCCACCCTTTCCACAAAAATTATTTTTCTGCAAAGTTTTCATGATACACTTACTGTCGGAGGGGATTATACTTTCATTAAGAAATTGGTGAAAAAAACGTAAAACTTGCGCTCTATGTGACGAAGGATGAAACTTCTATATAAGCCTCTTCTTGTCGTTTAGCTCTAGTTGGGAAACTTACATATGGTATACCTAAAGTTGAGCTGATAAGGAGAGAATTTGAAATGCTAAAATTAAAAGGTTGGTGGAAGGTTGACATTATAGGTGGTAGACATATTTTTATTCAATTAGTCAATGATGAGGACTACACTCGTCTACTTGCAAAAATGTTTATCTGGGTTCAAAATAGTTTGATAAAATTCCAGAATGGACTTTTCACTTTGATGCTAAATCTGAGTTGCCTATTATACAGGTTTGGATATGTTAAACTTCAACTTTTTAGCCACGAGATTCTTTTCTCTCTTGCTACAACTTGCGGTAGGCCTTTGAAAATGGATCCTGCTACTTTTACTTTATCGAGACCATATGAAGCACATATTTTTGTTGAACTAGACGTAACACAACCATTTTGCAACAAAATTTGGATAGGATCGCAACATCAGGGTTACTGGCAACCTATTGAAATTGAACGACATTCTCCTTATTGCACTAACTGTTCTATGTTTGGTCATCAAACCATATCTTGTTTTAGACTCAATCCTCAGCTTAGAAATTCTCATAACACAACACACACTACTTTGACTGCTGGAAACACAAATATTGAACATCATGCTATCCTATCTACTATGGAAAACGGGGTAGATTTAGTTGATAATCCAACTACTATTTCTATTACTCTTAACTTACATACTTTAGGTACTGAAGCTTTACATAATTGCACTGATGGCATTGAAGGCACTGAGGTTAACACTCATCATATGCATGTTCATGAGGGTAATATTTTGGCGGATGATACTAATGTGCATCTTGTTAGTATGGCTTTTGAGGAGCCTGTGGAAACAAAAATACTAGTGGATCATAATAATACAAATAACGGAAATTTATTTGCTCCTAGGACTTCGATCCAATTTCCTATCGCTAGAGCTGCTACTGATACTGTTGATATCAATTCTACTTTATCTAATGCTGTTATAATTTTGGAAAATGCAATTGCAAAAGCATTCTTGTAAAAAAGCTAAATGTAATAATGAGCTATCTGGACTTAATGCTAGTAACATTATTCATGAATAAATTTACCACTCTGATGGGGAACAGTTGGTCAACCCAACTAGATCTTCTAGAAGGGTTGGATTACTTCATCATGTTTAATATTTTGGTCTGGAATATTAGAGGAGTGGCGGACCCTAACTCTCTTAATAGGCTTAAAAATCTTTGTAGGGTTCATAAATTACTCATTTTTGCTATTTTGGAGCCTTTGGTTCATGTCAATAAAAGCAAAATTTTGAATAAATTCAAAGGATATCGTTTTCATTTCAATGTAAAAAATAAGATTTAGGTTTTTTTGGAAGCCCTCTGTCACTCTTTCTATTATTGAAGATGAGGAACAATATATTCTTACTCAAATTAGTTTTGAAGGCTACCAAGGCTGGGCGCTTTTGTTTACTCTAGCTCTCATTTACATGAAAAAATTTGCTTTGGCAAAAATTTGAGTTTATGAAAAAATGAGTTAGTTTATGGGCAGCATTATTAATGAGAATTGGTTTGTTGTTGGAGACTTTAATATGATCATGAAGCCTATGGAAAGAAAAGGAGGTGGTAGAGTTGAGCCTGCTCTTATTTATAAGGTTTCTAACTCCATTTTCAATGCACGTGTTTTTTATTTGGGGTATTCTGGTTCTTCTTACTCTTGGAGGAGGGGTTTTCTTTATCAGAGATTCAATTAGTTTTTGGCTAATTCTTCTTTCATTAGTTACTTTCCTATTGTGAAGGTTCATCATTTGAGCTATGTTACTTCGGATCATAATCCTATTTTTCTTACTTTAGCTTTCACTATTAAACCGACTATATCTCATTTTAAATTTCTCAATGTTTGGACTTCTCATGATACTTATCTTAATTTAGTGAATCAAGCTTGAAAATTTGAGGGAGTTGGGACTCCTTGGTTCATTTTGTGGCAATTGAATAAGAAGATGGCTGCCCATTTTACTAAATGAAATTACCAGATCTTTGGTAATGTCCATAAAAAAGTGCAGGATGCTCAGAACATTATTGATTCTTTGGAATCTCAGCTTGATGCTTCTCCTGCTTTGGTGGACATTGTTGCTCAGGCTCACATTGCTTTAATGGATGCTATTGCTATTGAGGAAAATCTGCTTAAGCAGAAGTCTAATGATTCTTATTTTGTCGTAGGGGATAGAAATACCAATTATTTTCATACCACTCTTAAGCACAGAAGAAACATTAATAGTATTTTGAAAACTAAAAAGGGTGATGGGAGTATTTTAACTTGTCTGGAAGAGATTGGTGACAGTGCTGTCTCTTGTTTTATTGAGTTTTTTCAAACTTCTACTCATACTATGCATGTTGACTACACTCATTTTGTGGATGAGTGTAACTATATGAATAACTTACTTTGATTCATCCTCTTGATGAGCAGGAAATCCTTAATACTTTCAAATCTATTTGCCCCAACAAAGCTCCTGGGCCTGATGGATTTTCCTCTACCTTCTATATTAATTCTTGGAAAGTTATCAAGAATGAGGTAATACTTGCCATACAAAGCTTCTTCCTTGGAGACAATCCTGGTAAAAATTTTACCTCTGCTTTAATTGTGCTCATTCTAAAAGGTAATGATAAAATATCCTGGGACAATTTCCGTTCTCTATCTCTCACTACTGTGATATCTAAAGTTATGAGTAAGATTATTGTGAACAGATTGCAGCCTTATCTTTCTTATACTATTGCTGCTCAGCGGTCTACTTTTATCAAGGTTAGGGATATTAGTGATAATATCCTTTTAGCACAAGAGATAATTGAAGATTTGGACAAAAAATGCAGGGGAGGAAACATGGTGCTTAAGCTGGACATTAAGAAATCTTTTGATACTATTAGCCTGGACTTTATTATTAATCTTTTGCAGGCTAAAGGCTTTCAACAAGACTTCTGCTCTCTCATTAAGAGGTGGCTCTCTAATAATTGCTACAGTGTGATGGTGAATGGTAAAGCTCATGGTTTCTTTTCTGCTAATGGGGGCATTAAACAAGGGGACCCACTCTCTACCAAAATTTTTATCATTGCTTTTGATTATTTTTCTAGGCTTATCAATAAGTTGCAATATGAGCATTCTTATATTCAATATTCTCACAAGTCCAAAATTATGGCGAGTCACCTTGCTTATGCTAATGATGCAATTTTGTTCTTAAATGCTAGCAAGCGTGCCATCAAAGCTACCATGTATTTGCTGAAAGAATTTCAAAACACATCTGGTATGATGTTTAACCTGACTAAATGCACCATTTATTTTATCAAGGGTGTCCCCTCTAACACTGATTCTTAGGCTTCCAATTTTACTGGCTGTAAAATCTCTAAATTTTCTATAAAGTATCTTGGGGTCAACATTATTAGAGGAAGAACTAAGCAAACTCAGATGGATGAGGTGATTGATAAAGTTAAACTTAAGATTCATGATTGGAAAAATAATTTTCTTTCTAATGGGGGTAGGCTCACTTTGTTGAGAAGTTTCCTTTGTACACTCCCTCTCTACACAATGCAAGTTCTCAAAACTAAAAAGAGCACTCAAAAGAATCTTGAAACTATCTTTAATAAATTTCTTTGGAAGGGCTCAAGATCTTCTAAGAGTTGGTCTAATTTGCAGTATATTTGCAAGCCTTTTTGTGTTGGTGAGCTTGATTTAAAACATTACAACAAACTATTGACATCAACATGTGTAAGCTTTGGATTAAGTTTCAATTGGGTGAGTTTTTATGGGCTAAATTTATGTATCATAAGTATTGTAAAAATTTACATCCCACTACAATAAATTGGAGAGTAGGGGATTCTAAGATTTGGAAGGCCATTATCTCTTCACGTGAGGTGGCTTCTCATTTTATTTTTTGGGACATTAGGGATGGCAACATTTCTTTTTGGAATGTGAATGGGTCATTTTGAAGTATGCTACTCCTCTAACGTCGAGTTTTGATGCTAATTTTCTTGTCTCTGATTGTTGGATTAATGGTGACTGGAATTTAGAAATGCTAAATTCCTTAGTTGGTGAATCTGTGCATGCCATTGCCACTATCCCTATATGGTTCATGCTAATGATGTTCCTCTTTGAAAGCATCATTCTAGATCCTCGATTACTAAATTGCTTTACTTTGGACTGCACTCTTTTGCTACTTGGAAATGACATGTTTACACTTGGCATAAATATATCTCCCCTTCTATATCCTTTTTTCTTTGGAGATTTTTTCATAAGTTGTTTCCTCTTGATGATATACTTAAAATGAAGGACTTAAATTGGCCTCTTACTATTATATCTATAAAAAGGATGTTGAATCTTTTAATCACTTGTTTCTTGATTGTTTCTAATTTATTAGTTTTTTTTTTAATTTGTGTTTTGTTATAAAAAAAATAATTTGATTCCTTTTTTTTTTTGAATAGTATCGAGTGTAATCCTCATTTTTCCAAAAAAAAAAAATACACGTCGCTCCGTCCGTGAGGATGCGAGAAAATATTACATCAGAACTTCTAATGTAGAGCTATGTTCGAAGTCCACTGATATGCAGACACGTGGATGTGATTGAAAAAAAAAAAAAAAATTATTTTAGCGCATGAGAATATTTCTTCCGTGTTATTCCACATTATTCAGGTGTTATTGTGATATTTCAATAAACTATAATGAAAGATTTACATATATTTAACAAAATTTTAATTTATTTATATATTTAATATATGAATTTTAATATTTACATCTATCTTGCATTTTTTTTCTAATTATTGAGCAGTATTTTTTGATGTGATATGAAAGATTTGTGTTATACATGCAAAAAATTTAAATATAAATATTTGTGTTGAACACAATTCTCTTTGGATGCGCTTGAAATTCAGAAGGAGAGAAAGAGAGATATCATAATATTGAACAATAAAATTGACCTCATTTATTCATGAGATGGGCCTCTTACTTATAGCCATATTTTCATCATTTATCGGTAAAGTATCTAGATACAGCGAGACACCCTTAACTAATCATAAATTTGGCTTGTGGGACCCGTAGGTGCATTCTGCTGACATTCTTTTGGGCAGGGTGGCTACAGGGACGGGCAATCATTTGGTCGAGTGGTTCTTTGTCGAGAATGCAATTTGTTGAGAGCTTGTGACAGTCATCTTGGGGTTGAAAGACTCATTTCCCTTTTTCGACTTGATATGAATTTCGAGGCGATGGACATATCTGCATGGGCTTGACCCACATGGTTCTTCTGTAGTGATTCTTATTGTTGTTGTTATTGGACTTATCTTATTGGTCTTCCTACTTTAGAGTACTGCAGGTTGCAACCTCGCTTTGACTGTGCAGAGATTATGCTTACCGTTTGCAAGATTGGTCTTTTTGGACATGCACTCTTTTATTCAACTTCACTCTCCTTAACTACAGTTCACTTGGGTTTTGGTACACATGTCAATTTTGGGTATACTTTTAATTTTAGTATACATTTTGTGGTTATACATGTATTTTTTTTTTTTGTGGAGTTGTACTGTGGATAGTGAAACCCCTAGGACTATGATGTATTTTTTTTTGTTTTTAGATGAGGATCCACTATCCCTCCCCAAATCTGTAATCTTTTTCTTTATTAACGCGTAAGGAGCCACGAGTTGCTCTTTTTATTATATATATATATATATATATAGAGAGAGAGAGAGAGAGAGAGAGAGAGGAAAAAGGAGCATTATTCGGCTCCCTATGTGTTAATCAAAAAGGTGATTACAAAGTTTGGGTAAGGAGAGGAACCCCAAAAACTAACACCAAAAAAAGATATATAATACTCACTTGTAGGGGGGTCCTCAGCCTCAGTATAACTCCACGCAAAATCACCCAAAAATGAGAAGATCAAAACTGATAACATAACACCAAAGAAGGTCATATCCCCAAAACACATACATGTATACCCAACCAATTGACAAAAAATAAATAAAGACCAAAATTAAAGCAGCTCCAAGAAAATCGAGAGCTGAAGCCAAAAACTTCTAGATACAAAGCATAGAGGGCTCTCGAGACAAAACCAAGCCTGCAAGCTCAAACCCATCAGAACTTTAAAAGAGTAATAACATAGATAGCATACTGCATCACCATACGCCAACAACCTTTTAACCATCTGAAATAGATAAAAAATTGGAAACAGGTGCAGCAGAGAATAAAGCCAAGCATCAAGACTAATCCCAAACATGGCTCCCCAGACAAAAAGACTAAATCTTGATAAATGGGACTCCCAAATTTTCCCCATTTAGAAGCCTTCTCAAAACACTAGGTGGTTGTAATCTAATCAGAATATTAGCATTTCCCCAATCTCGCCAACCAATCAGCAGGTGTATTGCCTTCCCTTAAAATGAAACTCAGGAGCATCATGAGGTTTTCGGTGGATATAATGAACCAAATCCTATTAATAATGCTTACAATGTTCCGAGGCTATTAATATTTAGAAAGAATTTGGTAAAGTATCCTGGAAACAGATTCAACATAAAAGTTAGAAAGCTAAAAAATTGTAGCGACATGTATTGCAAGGAGAACAACCCAACACTCTATTTTCAGAGGGCATTCTGCCATGACAGGAGAAGATAAATAGCATACAGTACTACCCAAACTATCTCTAAAAAAACCACCAACCCCAGCCACGGCGTTAGATCAACTATCATCAACATTTGTTTCCAAAAGAGTAAGGGTTCAAGCTAATCATGTTTGGTTAATGTTTTAGGTTGTGAGTGAAGGTGAGGGGTATCAAGTCTGTGTGTGAAAGACTGACCAAGACCACACCACCTAGGGCTAACCCTAAGGCTAGACAATCCTATGTAGCCTCTCTCTGAGCTCCTTCATATTGGCTCCACCTATTAAGTGCTAGAGGTTAGAACCAACATGTGGAACTTCAAGATGAGCAAAGAAGAGTTTTAGAATTTCTAATGGTGAGGGTTCCCTTACTAATTCTATAAGAATAGTCAACAGAAAAAACCTATGGCTAGATTTTAGGCTTTTAAGGGAGAGACTAGACTTCAGCCAAAAGTGAGGTCAACACTAAGGAAGGCTAAAGAGTAGGCATGCTTACATGAAATAGAGGAGCAAAAAAATTTATAAAATGAGAAGGAAAGAGCACAAACTTGGAGCCAACATGAGGGGAATCTCGAAGCGTAGAATAATTAAGTGAGAGCTTCACAAAAAAAAAAAAGAGCCAGGATAGTGTAAATGTTGTCTTAGGAGATTCAAGGAGAGATGAGAAAATCTAGGATGAGTAGCACAGCTTATGTAAGAAGAAAGAGAGAAAGCTTAGGTGGGGAGAAAAGTTTATAAGGTCAACATGTAAAACCAAGCATTTAAACTCCCTTTTAAATTCCTCTTAAACTCAATTTTAAAATCATGCATGTTTAGGATCAGTATATATTTGTCAAACAATCCATTATTATAATACCGTCTTTCATTCATAAATCTTAAAAAATCCATATTAGTCTTTATTTGGCCGTTTACCTTCTATTATACATACTGTTATGGCAGGACTTCAATTGTACCCTGGAAGATGATTGTAATTGAAGTCAGAACCCCCCCATGTTGAAATGTTTTCAAATCTTACTATTCACTTTTTATTAAAATTTTTGTTGGAGAAATAAATACTTAATTATATAATAATTTTACAGTTGAATTTTTACATATCAAGTTTTTTTTTTTATTCTTAACATTGACATCCAAACAAAAATACCAGATTTACTTCATATTTGATTGGAATAACTTGACACTATAGGACTCCATTGTTATTAATCATTGCACGTAGTTTAGGTGTACACTTGTACATAAAAAAAGTGTCTACAATAATCATTAAGAGATATAATGGTCTAGAAGTGAAGAATACAATGGAGGCAGATCTACTACAACGGAATAATGGATCCCATGTGACCAGGTAAGCCAAGCCATGTCATGCAAGTTAACGAGGCTAGGATAAATCAAGCCAAAACACAGATAAGAAGATGAATAGGCAATCCAAACATAAGTCATTTGATCAAAAAATGTGACATGGATCCACTTAGCCATCCACCGTAGGAAAGCCAACCAGATGCAACAACTTATCCCATAGTGGAGTCGACTCAATGTAAGGGAAAGTTCTGTAAAGTATCTCTATTCATCATGTAGAGACCCAAAGACTCTTCACTAGGGATTGAAGATAGTCAATCTGGTAGGTTTAGCTAATCAAATACTATTGAATAAGCTCAACAAATGAGCTAACCCCATCAACCTAAGTCAAAGAAGCTTAGCTGACTAACCCAGAAGGTAGTTGAACAATAAGGCAATGGTTTTAAAATAAGAAG